TATTTAAACTTAAATATCAAAGGATTTAATAAAGTTGCAAAATTGGAAGAACTAATTATACTTAAATCTACAGTTTCTGCATTAGGGAAATTGAATTATGATTCAATTATTTCAGTTTATGTTTTTATAACAAGATTGAAATCATTATATGTATTTTACCATATAGAAAATAATTTAAGAATAGATGCTTCATTATATTAATTGGCTGATTATTGCAATTGTGTTTATAATAAAATGGTGAGTTGAATTCCATGACCTACAATAGAATGAATAAAATTATTTTAGATATTAAGTACATCCCATCCTAGAGATTCAACTATTTAATGATTATGATTATTTATTCTATTAATAAATATATTGAATCCAATATAATCACTAGCTATTGCTCTATTGTTAATAATAGTATTAAATGGATTTGAAATATAAAATGCAGATGATTATCTATCAATATCTAATAATTAATTATTTTTGGATTGGAAATTAAAGAAAGAACAAGAATTATCAATAAATTAGTTTGATTTTACTTTAATAACTAAATTAGATTCAATTCTATTATTAATATCTGTAACACTAACCAAATGAATAGCATTTCCTATGATATTATAACATACATTATTAATTACTCTTAAATGTTTAACATTATTTAAAACAATGCATCTTGAATTACTATTGTAAATAGAATTATCTTCGATTAGTGATTAATCCATTTCCTCATTATTGTAAAAGTGTATTGGATATCTTCCAACTATATTAGTTTATCCACCATTTTTTATTTCAACATTTGATATTTTTACAATTGTTCCTTAATTTTATTTTCCATTAATATGAATATGAACACCATAACCATTTTATTATTCTGCTTAAATCAAAATGTTTCTTGATAACAAACCAACTTCAGTTTTGTATTATCCCTCTGATAAATGGGTATAAATAAGTGATTAATCTAAAGTAATGCTTTTTTTATCAGTACTAATAAATTTGATAATTCTAATTTCATTCTCTTCAATATTAGAACTACTAGTTGCAATTACTATCTATTCACCAACATTCCAATCCACAGTTGTACTTAATTTTATGATGCTTTCTCCTTTTAATACTTTTTAATCTAGTAAACTCCAAGTTGAAGTTCTTTTTCTTCCAAACATTTGAATTTAACACTTTACACATCCTATAACTTTGTTACCTATTAATGGGAATTAAATATCAGTCTCTTCTCCACGTAATATAATTATAGCCTAATGTTAATAAGGTTAATCTTGAGATCCAATAATTAAAGCACCTTCTCTTATAATAATTTAATTTGCAATCATTTTGATATCTTATTCATCAGCAAATATTAATTTTCCTTCAATAACAAGTCTATTAAGAAGTACTGTATTGACATCTAATAATACTTTTTAATAATTTTTAATCAGAATAGAATCTTCATCTTATGGTATTTCAAATTCCCAAGTTGAAACATCTGACCATTTTTAAATATACATAAACTATTATTTAATAAGAGCTTAAGCTTTTTATACTTAAACAACAAATCCACTATTCTCTGTCAACACAGTTTTGATTCCTGTTTTACAAGTAATTTCAGTAGTAGTTACACTAACTAAAACACATTAGATATTATCTATAGTTACAGTAGTTTAATCTTTAATAAATCCATTACCCTTTATAGTTATTTCAGTTTCTGTATTCACAGATCCATATCTAGGTACAACTGATTCTACTATTGGTTAATATTGATATGAGAATGTCTCGGCATTAGATATACTATTAAATTAAAAACCATTAACATTAATATCAAGTTGACAATTCTTTAGATTATTTTCATCAAAATGTATCCAACCATATAATTCAATTTCTGAAAATGAACATTAAGAACCTTCAATACCTTAATCATCTATAAATTTAATTGAATTAATCTTATCTATTTATATTTCAGGTATTAAAACATTCCAACCTTCATTTATATATTTTAATTATTCTAATGATATCCAATTTTAACCATCTATAGTATACTAAATTTTAATTGTTTTTAATTTGTTATACTAAAATCCTAATTTTGGTTAGAATCTTAACTTAGCAAGTCTTAAATATGCAAATTATCTCTAAAGATTAAATTATATGAAACATTAAGTTTATGAATCAGATGAGTAGTCTGTTGATATTGTTTCATCATATATATTCTAAACTAATTCCATTCTATCTCCTGATATAATTAACTCTTTAAGATTAATTTTGGAATATGGTATAGATTAAATTAATTATGATGTAAATAACATAGGAGCTAAGACTTCTAAACTATTAAAACTAGATGACATCACTTTGCATGGTAAATCACAAAATTAAACTAGATNGTGATTAATCCATTTCTTCATTATTGTAAAAGTGTATTGGATATCTTCCAACTATATTAGTTTATCCACCATTTTTTATTTCAACATTTGATATTTTTACAATTGTTCCTTAATTTTATTTTCCATTAATATGAATATGAACACCATAACCATTTTATTATTCTGCTTAAATCAAAATGTTTCTTGATAACAAACCAACTTCAGTTTTGTATTATCCCTCTGATAAATGGGTATAAATAAGTGATTAATCTAAAGTAATGCTTTTTTTATCAGTACTAATAAATTTGATAATTCTAATTTCATTCTCTTCAATATTAGAACTACTAGTTGCAATTACTATCTATTCACCAACATTCCAATCCACAGTTGTACTTAATTTTATGATGCTTTCTCCTTTTAATACTTTTTAATCTAGTAAACTATAAGTTGAAGTTCTTTTTCTTCCAAACATTTGAATTTAACACTTTACACATCCTATAACTTTGTTACCTATTAATGGGAATTAAATATCAGTCTCTTCTCCACGTAATATAATTATAGCCTAATGTTAATAAGGTTAATCTTGAGATCCAATAATTAAAGAACCTTCTCTTATAATAATTGAATTTGCAATCAAATTGATATCTTATTCATCAGCAAATATTAATGTTCCCTCAATAACAAATCTATCAAGAATTATTGTATTGACATCTAATAATACTTTTTAATAATTATTAATCAGAACAGAATCTTCATCTTATGGTATTTCAAATTCCCAAGTTGAAACATCTGACCATTTTTAAATATACATAAACTCTTATTTAATAAGAGCTTAAGCTTTTTATACTTAAACAACAAATCCACTATTCTCTGTCAACACAGTTTTGATTCCTGTTTTACAAGTAATTTCAGTAATAGTTACACTAACTAAAACACATTAGATATTATCTATAGTTACAGTAGTTTAATCTTTAATAAATCCATTACCCTTTATAGTTATTTCAGTTTCTGTATTCACAGATCCATATCTAGGTACAACTGATTCTACTATTGGTTAATATTGATATGAGAATGTCTCGGCATTAGATATACTATTAAATTAAAAACCATTAACATTAATATCAAGTTGACAATTCTTTAGATTATTTTCATCAAAATGTATCCAACCATATAATTCAATTTCTGAAAATGAACATTAAGAACCTTCAATACCTTAATCATCTATAAATTTAATTGAATTAATCTTATCTATTTATATTTCAGGTATTAAAACATTCCAACCTTCATTTATATATTTTAATTATTCTAATGATATCCAATTTTAACCATCTATAGTATACTAAATTTTAATTGTTTTTAATTTGTTATACTAAAATCCTAATTTTGGTTAGAATCTTAACTTAGCAAGTCTTAAATATGCAAATTATCTCTAAAGATTAAATTATATGAAACATTAAGTTTATGAATCAGATGAGTAGTCTGTTGATATTGTTTCATCATATATATTCTAAACTAATTCCATTCTATCTCCTGATATAATTAACTCTTTAAGATTAATTTTGGAATATGGTATAGATTAAATTAATTATGATGTAAATAACATAGGAGCTAAGACTTCTAAACTATTAAAACTAGATGACATCACTTTGCATGGTAAATCACAAAATTAAACTAGATTAGATAAAAGATTAGATGAAAATCCATTACCATTTATATTAAAAATAATTCCATCTCTAGAAATAAAAGGATTACTTAATGTTGGTGCTTGAGATTACTCCACAATTAAATTTGAATAATCTTTATTTACAAAAGATGCATAATAATTACCAACTCTTATTTCTATCAAATAAATTCCTATTGGAATGCTTGAAAATTCATATTCAATTAATGTTTAAGTCTAGGTTGTTGAAGTCTTTATTCCAATAATTATTTCTGTATTAGTTAATAATTATACTACTACTTCTTATCCTAATAAATTTATTCCTTCAATTTTCAATTTAAAAGTTCCAGGATTATACACTATTGAATTCCTAGTAGCATCAAATTTATCTATTCCATCAACTAATATTTTATTTACTTATGGAGTTATAGTATCTTCTTTTATATTGATTGCAAATGTTCTGGTTAATAATGTATCTTAGTTTTCTTAATCAAATTAATTTAGTGTAAGTGTATTTTAACCAGCTATTAGTTTTGTTTTTAAAAAACATGATATTTCTACTGAACTTATGACTTTTATTTCTTTACATTCTTTATCTTCAACTTAAATATTTTTTAAGTAAAGTTCATTAAAACCATACCCATTAATTATTATTTTACCTCCACTAATTGTTGCATCAGTTACAGATGTGATTTCCAAACCAAATCTTGTATACCAATATAGAAAAGTAGCAGCGTACAATTACATTGCTTACGTTAAATGTATTCCTTAGGTTAATTCTGGAACGGTAACATAGACGGAATAATTAATTGTTGAAGTATTGATAGAATAGTTAGTTTTATCATTTTAAGTGAAGGATAGTTTTGTAGTAGCAAATAATATACCAGCCGTTGTTATTGGGAGTTTTTAATAGTAAAATTATAATTTTAGAACTTGTCCTGGGGTAAAATTCATTATTTCATTATTCCAAATTTAACTATATGATAATAGTGGATCAATATATTGAGATTATTTGTAAAATAATAAAGGATTGGTTTATTATAGCTTTGCCTCTTCGGACCATAGCATTAAGTACTTTGGTTTATGCCTTATATAGACAACTTAATTCTCACCAACAAAAAAATTAGAAATAAATGGATCTTTTTGATATTAAAATTTGCAATTAGCACAAGTTCCTACATATTTAAAGTTCTAAATAAGATGAAATACTCCAAATTATACATCCAATATTTCAGGTGGGCCACTACAATCTATATTTGTGGCATTCCTCTGACTTATCTCAAAAATCTAAGGGTAAACAGAATTAGATGCAATGACACTAGGACCATTCAGAAAATTAGATCCAGAAAGATAGATAGAAGAACCACCTATACTTCTAATTTCGTATGAATTTGGATTAAAGTTTATGTTTAATTCAACTGAAATTGATGTTAATATTTATCCATATTATTTTCTTTTAATTATTATTTTAGATAAAGATGTATCTAATGAAACATTGACTTTCACTGTCAACAACTTATCTTGTACATCGACTACTTAAATTTCTTTATTCTAAATAAATGCTTTGATATCCTATAATACTGTACCAAAATTAGTTCCTGTTACTTATAAAGTATCCCTGAAAAAAGGGGATATTATATTAGAACTTAACTTTGTTATAGTTAATTTATAGGCTGGATCATAAGTAAATGAATTATCACTAAAAGTATTACCATTAAATTAAATTGTTATAGTACCATCAGTTCCAGATGGATGTATAAATACAATCTTTTTATTACTTATTGTTAAAGGGTTAATCTAAGTGTTTCCCATTTTTAGTACAAATTTTCTAGATAAATCTTTAGGAAATCCAAACCCTAATATAGTTATTTCAGCTCCTCCATCAGGAGAGGCAGAGTTAGGAACAATAGAATTGAATTCTAGTAATGTTTAAGCAGCAATTAGGCTTGGATCTCTTTTTATGTATCCATAAAGTTTGTTAAAGATTATGGGATATTAATTAGTACCAGCCTCTGCTATTACTTCAGTGTTATGAGTCTCAAGAGTACAAATTAATTTAAATAAATTTGGATCATTTGATACAATCTTAATATCTATACAGACAGCACCTCTAAAATCAATAGTAAAATCATTAGCTACCAAAGTAAATTGCTCTTATGATAGAATAGAAAAACTCAGAACCATAAATTCATTGCTTACACTATATGATTACAAAATGAATAATTTTGTCTACTCAAAACTAAAATCACAAACACCCTCTTATTCACAAGCTCCTAATCCTTCATATGTAGACACTTAAACTTAGGGTTTAGTACCATATGTGAATAGTTTAAGTGCTGGTATAGGTTCATACAATTGAAGATTACAAGTTTTTAGATTTAAGACTTCCAAATTAACATTTCCATTTCCAGATTATAAATTATTTTATTCAGATTTGAAATTTTGTATAGTTTTTGTACATGAGGTAAATAATATATTCCAGATCTATCCATCCTTTGGTCTTCCCTCAGTCCAAACTATTGGTTTTTCACCTATTAATCTATAAAAATTATCAGCCAAAATACTAGGATCAACATCAAAGGATAATTCTTAGTTGTTATTTTAATCTACAAATAGGGTGAATTGATTAAATAATGATAATTTGAAAGATCCAGAAATAGGATCTAAAGGTTCTTGAATAGTGCGAACATTAACAATAAATTATTCCTATATTGAAATTAATTCAGGGAGATAACGATCTTCTATCTATCCTCTATGAGAAAGATATGTTATTATATATTAATGACCAGCATATGATTCAGAAGTATCATCTAAAACTAATCCAGAATAATCTAATTTATTTATTTTTACTTATGTCAAATAATTACAACAATCTAAAAGAGCTTTTTAAATTTAATCACTATTAAAGTTAAGAGTTATATCTTAAGTAATAAATGATAATTATTCATGGTTAGAGTCCTTAAATTTTAATTTAAAAGTATCTAACAATAATAAATTTTCTTAGGAATTATAGATATTAATTTCTTAGATTTCATTTTAAGGTGTGTAGGATGTTTTTACTTAAAATAATTAACTTTATCTTGTGTTTGGTGCTTACAACTCATTAATGTTGGCATTCATAGATAGAGTTAGGAATCCTTTGCCTACAGTATTAATATGAAAAATTTCAATATAATAATATTTATTCTGTTCTAAATTGATTATTTATGAAATTGAATTAACAACTTTTTAATTATCCCAAAGTTATTCACCATAATAATTTCTATATTAAGTAGATTATGATGANACCCTAATATAGTTATTTCAGCTCCTCCATCAGGAGAGGCAGAGTTAGGAACAATAGAATTGAATTCTAGTAATGTTTAAGCAGCAATTAGGCTTGGATCTCTTTTGATGTATCCATAAAGTTTGTTAAAGATTATGGGATATTAATTAGTACCAGCCTCTGCTATTACTTCAGTATTCTGAGTCTCAAGAGTACAAATTAATTTAAATAAATTTGGATCATTTGATACAATCTTAATATCTATACAAACAGCACCTCTAAAATCAATAGTAAAATCATTAGCTACCAAAGTAAATTGCTCTTATGATAGAATAGAAAAACTCAGAACCATAAATTCATTGCTTACACTATATGATTACAAAATGAATAATTTTGTCTACTCAAAACTAAAATCACAAACACCCTCTTATTCACAAGCTCCTAATCCTTCAGATGTAGACACTTAAACTTAGGGTTTAGTACCATATGTGAATAGTTTAAGTGCTGGTATAGGTTCATACAAATAAGGATTACAAGTTTTTAGATTTAAGACTTCCAAATTAACATTTCCATTTCCAGATTATAAATTATTTTATTCATATTTGAAATTTTGTATAGTATTTGAACAAGAGGTAAATAATATATTCCAGATCTATCCATCCTTTGGTCTTCCCTCAGTCCAAACAATTGGCTTTTCACCTATTAATCTATAAAAATTATCAGCCAAAATACTAGGATCAACATCAAAGGATAATTCTTAGTTGTTATTTTAATCTACAAATAGGGTGAATTGATTAAATAATGATAATTTGAAAGATCCAGAAATAGGATCTAAAGGTTCTTGAATAGTGCGAACATTAACAATATATTATTCCTATATTGAAATTAATTCAGGGAGATAACGATCTTCTATCTATCCTCTATGAGAAAGATATGTTATTATATATTAATGACCAGCATATGATTCAGAAGTATCATCTAAAACTAATCCAGAATAATCTAATTTATTTATTTTTACTTATGTCAAATAATTACAACAATCTAAAAGAGCTTTTTAAATTTAATCACTATTAAAGTTAAGAGTTATATCTTAAGTAATAAATGATAATTATTCATGGTTAGAGTCCTTAAATTTTAATTTAAAAGTATCTAACAATAATAAATTTTCTTAGGAATTATAGATATTAATTTCTTAGATTTCATTTTAAGGTGTGTAGGATGTTTTTACTTAAAATAATTAACTTTATCTTGTGTTTGGTGCTTACAACTCATTAATGTTGGCATTCATAGATAGAGTTAGGAATCCTTTGCCTACAGTATTAATATGAAAAATTTCAATATAATAATATTTATTCTGTTCTAAATTGATTATTTATGAAATTGAATTAACAACTTTTTAATTATCCCAAAGTTATTCACCATAATAATTTCTATATTAAGTAGATTATGATGATGAAGCAGCTGGAGAATCAGCATGAATTAGTTTGAGTGTTTCAGTAGTTTGAATATAAAATGTAGCATAGTCATCAGCTGCTAATAAGAATTAATATTCTCCAGTTTAAGTTGCTTTAAAAAAACCTCTAAAATATTATCCATATTAAGATTCAACTTCATCAATATAATCTGGTTATGAATAAACACCATTTTTAATTATTCTAGCTTTTAAGTCTAAAGAATCTGATAAAATGTCATTTCTAAAAACATCACAATTAGTATATTAATTTGTTAATCCTCTAAAATCATATTTAGTATAAAATAATCCACTTCCAGAAATGAATACTGAGTCACTCCCATACAATTAATCTAATATTATTTAATCTGTTATTTTTGGTATTTAGACCTTAAATAATTTACTTTATTTACTTTTAATTAATTTGTGGATACTTCTAACACTGTTATTGAAACATCAGTTCCTGAAATCTTCACAATATTATCAGTCAAACCACTCTTAAATCCATATCCATTTATATTTAATATAAATGACTCATTTATTTCGTATGACCATTATAAAGAAGATATTAATGGAAGCATTCTTTTTATAAAACATTATTTTTACTTAAAACTTTTTTAAGATAAGATGTATCCTCTTCTTGTACCTACATTAACTTAAGAATTTGATGAAATTAGGTCTTCAGGCAATTGACAGGATATTACATCTTCATCCTTATATATTTGGGTATTCAATAATCTGTATTGATTTTTTACACATGATTTCTGTCCAATAAGAATTTTCTCAATTTCATTATGCTCTTCACCTATCAATGTCCATTCTCCTTTAGTAGACAAGACAGAATTTGCAAATCCAATTGATGGGATTATGTAATGTAGATATGGAGATTTTTCTTTTATATATGAAAAAAGGCATTTATTTTTTTAAGAAGTACATACTGATTTCTTATTATCAGATGCCTATACAGTCACAAGTAGATTTTTTAGTAAATATTCATTTTCTTACGGTGCAGTAGTTTTACATGACAATTCTTATTCTTTAACATAGGTTTCATCTATGATACAAGTATATTCGTCTACAAATATCAAGTTATTAGTGATTATAGAATCAAAGCCTATAGCCTAAAGATACAAATATCATTACCTTCAAGTATAAGCTTGTCCCTCCTTATCTAGAGCCATATAAATTTTCTAACTCCAAAAATGGACTGGTAGACACAGAATATAAGTTAATGATCTAAGGTTATTTAATTTCTTCAGGTGATAATGAAAAACCTATTGATATTGATAAGTAATAAACCTCTTAATTGTTCCACATATATATAGGCTAACAAGAATTACAAAAATGATTAAGATACCATCTATTTCAGAATTAATTATTATTAAAACCCAAAATGCAATTCAGCTATATAGCAAATAATTTTACAAACTCTATCATATTAATTATAGTTAAATCTAGATGAAATATAAATCCTAAAAAAGACATCATTTATATTTAGTACTCATGATTAATATATAAT